TCCCTCCCTCCCTCCCTCCCATTAGGTCAGCACAGATCCCGGCTGTATAAACATACTTTCCTTGTTTTAGATACCAATGTGTACTTCACTCACTTCAAAATGTGGGAAGTTGGGTTGGGCTGAGGATGGGGATCTTGTGTTAATTGATTGGAGCGATTCATCTGAAATTCTGTCCCTGTGACACCACTGAAATACTCAAAATTATACCTAGTAATTAGCCTCCTATATTAACAGACATGTCTGTTTCACTGTCTTGCAGGAAAGGGAAGGGGTTTCAGGGAAGGGAGAAGTTCAGAAGGTGGAAACTCCTGGCCAGATTGATCATAACCCTGGAGATTAAGGGCTGAAAGAAGAGGGGCACCCCCCTTGAAGACTGTTGCCATTTCAATCAGGGCAGTTGTTGCTCCTTGCCGATGAAGGAGCACACAAGGCGAGCTTCCTTGGGAAACCCGTTTCTTTATCTAGCAAGACCGTCACAGACACCCAGTCTGAAAGCTGTTCCCTTTGAAAGCAACTCTCTGCGTATGTTTTCATGGGACTTATTCTCTAGTTCGCAAATATCAGAGCACAGGCCGGAAATGTGGCCTGTGCCATCCTGCTGAATTGTGAGGTTGCGGTTGGTTGGTTTTGGCTAGGTGTGTCTTGTGAGCCCAGCCAAATGGGATTTGTCAACGATGGTTGATGGGCTAGCATGCTGTATAGGAGCTCAGCCATTGGGGCTTTATTCGTGAAAATATGGCTAAGTCGGGTAGGATGGAGGGAAAACCTTGGGGGCACCAGGTTGGAAAAAGTTGTCCAAGAAAGAGGCTGTAAGTTTTTGTTTTTAATGGCATTTCTCCTTCTCCCTAATGTTGGGAGCCCAGGTGAACTAATGCACATGCTTTTAGTTGATTGCACAAATCAGCACTCAGAAAACACCTCTGGAATTAACAACTGGAATTCCTTGTTGTAGACAGTGATTGCAGCTACGAGCCGAGAAGGTTTAAAAGGCAATAGGTCAAATTCATAGGAGACATTAGTCATCAGCAGTTATTAGCAGCCATGAGAGCACAAGAGAACATACATATTCAGTAAGTCTCTGAATATTGGTAGTTGTCTAACAGTAAGCCTTTGATGTCCTCCTGGGGATGTCTAGTTAGTCACTGAGAATGACAGAGCTTCCTAATTTTGCAAAGCTTTCCTCCTCAATTTTGATGGCGCAAAAACATCAAAGGTGTGACCCAAACTTGAGACATGTTTGCTTAGAAGCGGTCCATGGTGCCCAACACTAGTAGGGCCTATGCAGGGGTATATATTTAGGAATAGTCTCTGCAACCCCCTGGAAGGATAGCAAAAAAACAGGAGTCTGGTAGCACCTTTTCCAACTAATACATTGTATGAAAAGCTCATGAAAGCTTATGTGTTTTAATAAAGTGTGTTAGCTGGAAAAGGTGCTCACAGACTCCGGATTTTTGGCTACCATAGACTTTCACAGCTCTCCTTCTACAACACCGGAAGGGTATGGTCTCTGTTGGGTAGAGGGAGGTCAACTTTCTCTCCTTCTCTCTCTGTCTCTCTGGAGAAGGCGCTAATGCTGGGGAAGGTGGAAGGAAAGAGAAGAAGAGGATGGCCAACGGCAAGGGGGGTGGACTCAGTTACAGTGGTGATGGAGTTTAAATCACACAGTTCATATTCTGAATAAGAACTGAGTTGACGGTCTAGGTAATAAATAAAAAGTGGTTCTAGTAATTACATAAGGATGCTTCAAACAATTCTGTAGGGCTTAGTATGTAGAACGGACATTTATTTATTAATTCTCTTGACTTTCCACCAAATGGCCAAAGGAGGCTAACGAGAAAAGGAATTTCATTAAAGTCGAGAACATTATGCAAAAAACCCACAAGCTTGTCCTGTCCTAAGAGCGTGGAAATACGCCAGTGGGATCAGGCCGAAGGTCATCTTGATCCAGCATTTTCTCTCTCCCAGTGGATAAAGAAGTGCCTTGTTGTC